AAGGGAGAATTGATGATTGTTGTAGAAAATTAGGTTCTTTTACAGTAGAGCCTTGTGCCTGATGGTAATGACTGATCCACAGTTTCATTTCATAACAAAATAACAAATTTCCTTCTTTCATTCTTCTTTGTCAAGTTTACTCTTCAGCATTGTGTTAAGAAATAAACATGATCCTGTTGAATGCAGGTTTGTGAACAAGGCGCCTTTGACAGAGACTTCTGAAACATCAATTTATCATTCCTTGTATATCGAGCTATATACATTGAGGATTGAGGGTTCAGGAAAATTAAGTTCTGAAGGCTTCTTGTGGTCTTTAATCGGCATATCATGCTCCAGTAAAGTACAAGCAGGATCTCATATCTCATTAAAAATGGATGTCAAAGAAGCAGAGAGAGTAGTCGTGGCTAAACCAGTAGCTTCAAGGCCTTCTTGTTCGAATTTTAGATCTTTCTCAGAGCTCCTTGCTGGTGCCATTAATGCCTCACCTAGTAATGCTTGTTCTGAAACTGCAGTAGCTGCAATTAGACCAAAAACAGTGAGGTTCAAGCCAGGGGTGAATCGTGCCCCAACAACAGTGGTTTCTTCCCAGGTGGCCAGTCAGTTCTTCTGAATATCCATCTCTTTCCGGTATAGTTTGTCCACTGATACTTCTGTTGTCTTACAATTTCAGGCAGAACTCCCGGCAACAACAGTTTGCAATTCATTTGATAATAATGTTCCAAAGTCAGATAGTAAACCCTCATTGGTTTATAAACCACAGGCAAAACTTGTCTCAAAGACTACTGTTTCTCTCTTGGCAAATATGGTCAGTAGCTAAATACCATACTGCTAACAGGAAAAAAAAGTCCTTTTCTAGTGATATAGATAAGTGTGTCAAAGATAATGTTGAACTTTGCCAATTATATGTGTAAACCTGCTGATATTACTGTTTCATTTCTTCAGGGGAACTTCAGTAGTAGTCATCAACAAACACTGCTAGCAGTTGAGGCAAGAGCTCAACAAATGAACCAAGAAAAGCAAAATTTCCAACCCCAGATCAACTCAAATATTCACCAGAGTACTCCATCACGTGCTGAAACAGAGCAGACAAGTGAACCCTCCAAGATATCTCAGAACATGGATGAGGATCCAAAAGGTTTACCTGCTAATACTGATAGACCCTCCTATGATGGCTATAATTGGAGGAAATATGGGCAAAAACAAGTAAAAGGAAGTGAGTATCCGCGAAGTTACTACAAGTGCACTCACCCAAATTGTCCTGTGAAAAAGAAAGTTGAAAGATCATTTGATGGACAGATTGCAGAGATTGTCTATAAGGGTGAACACAACCATGCAAAGCCTCGGCCTCCCAAGCGCAATTCATCAGGGACTCAAGGGACAGGAGTTCCTTCTGATGGAACTGGTCAAGATGCCAACAATTCATTATGGAGCAAACAACAGAATGAAAGGAATGAAGGCTCTGAAGGTAGAGTTGAGAATGAGAATGAAGTAGGATTACCGGCACATTCATCTTATCAGGGAAAAGCTTCAGTACCTTACGAACCAGTTGCCACCGGAGCAATTAATACTGGTGGTGGAACTTCTGAAAATTCTTGTGGTCTTAGTGGTGAATGTGAGGAAGGAAGCAAGGAGGGAGAAGATGAGGGCCAGAGAAGTAAGAGAAGGTAATACATGCCATTAAAATGAAAATGTGCTTGTCAATAGATAGCAGAAATTGGATTAAGCTAATTTACTATGTCACATATTACTCCAATGCTTCTCTGATCTTCTATTATGTCAAATATCTTTCTAATGCATAAATTGCTTCAAAATTGTACCTCATTGACATAATACATCATAGTTTAAGCTGAACTTTGATCTGTTTCTTGTAGAAAAAGTGAGATTCAATCCAGTGAAGTAGGCATTTCTGGAGAAGGTGTCCAAGATCCCCAAGTTGTGGTGCAGAATACCACAGATTCTGAGATTTTGGGGGATGGCTTTCGCTGGAGAAAATACGGGCAGAAAGTTGTGAAGGGAAATCCATATCCCAGGTTGGAACTAAATAACTAGTTTAAATATACATTAGAGCCAAGAGTACCATTTTGTTTAAGAAAAAAAAGAAAAACTTTTGTCCTTCCTCATCCTGTTTTTACTCTGATTGATGCTTGATTATGTTGTGCTATTTCATGATATCCCAAGTGTTTCCAAAAATTAATGGTGCCTGACCTCCCTTGAAACTGAACTCCAGCTGCTATTGTCAGTAGCTGGTATAATCAGAGATGTCAAAATTTCTCCTATGATTATTATGTATGTATATATGCATGATCTATTGTCTTATTTTCTTACAGAATGTTTTATTCTGTCTTGTAGAAGTTACTACAGATGCACAAATCTCAAATGCAACGTGCGCAAGCATGTTGAAAGAGCATCAGATGATCCAAGATCTTTTATCACAACATATGAGGGGAAACACAACCATGAGATGCCACTTAAGAACACAGCTCCTGTGGTATCTGAACCAGAATCACATGCCCCTTCTAGTAAAGACAAGGCATGACTACAGGGAAGGAAAATCATTGCCTATGTATGCCAGCATGATTTCTGGTCCCAAAAACAGTCATAGGAAATTATAAGTATTCCATCTTGTTGCTACCAAACAACAGGAGAAATTCAGAAGCCGGCCATGAATTTAGGCTGTGGAGGCTTCTTGTTGATGGCAGTTTTATATTGGAACTCAAATTATCAGAGTGGAGACATCCTTTTCCTAAAATCTTCACCTTATTATTTTCTTTTCCATTTGTTTTTTACATAATATAAATAAGTACTTGCACATGTCCTTGTCTGTGATATATGAGTACTTGTAGTTTTGTTCCCAACTATTCTAGAATTTGTATTGTAAGAATTTCAAATAGGTTCAGAATCTCTGTTTCCAAGATTCTATGTTTGAAATTACAAATGGAAGGAAGAACATTCTGTTCTGTTCTGTTCTGTCTGTTTTTGCACTGTATCTGCTTCTTCATCCCCTGCATGTTCTTTTTCTTTCCATGTTTTTAACATGCACTTTCTTCTAGCATCTTCTGGAATCAATCAATAACCAGTGCTTGCTTTTCAATCCTGTTTCACACTAGAAAATGTATCAAGTGCTATGACTATTATTTTTAATATTTCAATTTGGCCTATCTATTTTAAAAAAAAGTTTTTTTTTAACCATTTTATTTTAAAATTTTCATTATTTAACGTCAAAACTTAACAAATAGATTAAAAATGTGTTAGATTTCAAATTTTAGAATTAAAAAAGTTTTTTAAAATAAAAAAACTAATAAAAGATTTTTTTTTTTTGCCTAAATAGATGGATTAAATTGAAATTTTAACTTATAAGTAAATGCTTCATTAAATGGCTCACGTGAAAGTACACGAAAATGTACTCACCTCTCTGTTGGGCTATTCATATTCAATGTAAGAGGACATGAAAAAAAGGCAATTTCGTCCAATTAGAGTAAAGTTAAAGCATAGCTCTTTTTGTTTTTTTTGTTTTTTTTTTTGCCCTCGGATACATCGAAAGCGTGAGTCATGTGATTTTACCAAATTTTAACTTTGATTTTAACTCTAAAACTAAAAATTTTATGTTATTAGATATCAATTTGAACAAGCCCTTTTAAATGTCCTCATTTCTCTTTAATTATAATTATAGTTATCATAAATCTTTTTAAAAGTCACTAAAATTATTAAAATTTTAATTTAATTTAATTATTAAAAAACCAATAAAATAATTAATATTTATCACTTAATAAAATAGTTTATAAATAAATATTTTTAAATATTAAAACTAATTGTTTAAAAAAATAATAATAATGATAAATTTTATAAGATTAAAAAATTTTAAAATTAATAATAAGATATAAATTATATTATTTAAAATATTAAAAATAAATTTTATATTATTTAATAATTAATTTTTTATTTTATTAAAATCATAATATTATATATAAGTTATATTATATTATTAATCTTAAACTTTAATTTTAAAATTTTATTATCTGTATCATTAATTAAAAAAATTATAAACTTATAAATATATACTTAAAATTAATTTAACAACAACCTTAACTTTTTTTTTAACAGCTCACTTCGATCCAATAATATAAATCTTAAATTAAAATCATTTATCATCCATAAATGATATATCTGAATCTCACGAGATTTATTAAAATAAAAAAGACCTCAACTTTCTCTTCGGTCTAACTTCTACCATATGTTTTTTCCTTAAAATATATATTTTTTTGTACAGTTTTCCTTAAAATATTTTAAGATCCTTCTATCGTTACCCGACAATTGCAAAAGTCAATAAATAAATAATAAAAAAAAACTGTAAAAAAATAAATAGAGAAATAGTAAAGTAAATAATCAAGTTCCAAATGGCGGGTTTTTAATGACAGCCGTTGACAGCTGTCAATTCTCAAAGGCAAACAAGATATATATAATTATTATAGAGAAAATGATTTATAGATAAATTTTTTGTATTATTTTTTATAAAAAAACTATTTTACAATATGAATTGCATATAATTT